GAAACCACAGCGAAGCTCCTGCTCACATGGAGCTCCCGTTCTACTGGGGAGCTCGGCCACAGCCAACGCGGGCACAGGCTTGACTGACATGGACTCTTCTATGCCTTAAACTACCCGAGTGGCGGTACTCACATCCCCAGTGTGAATGAGGAAAGCGGAGCTCAGAGCAGTGAAACCTCCTCCCTGCTCAAGGCCACACAGCTGGCAGGAGGCAGAACTGGGGTGTGGCCCGAGGCTGCCCAGTTCCAGAGTCCTCCTAACCACCCCACCTACTGCCCCTTGTGCTGAGAGCTCAGCGAGGCACCCGACAGGCCAGAGGGTGGAGAGGGGGACACGGGCGGGAAGGCGATGACTGAGCTAAGGAGGAGGAAGCCGTGGGAAGAGTCAGAGCCGTGGCTTCCCAGCACAGGGGCAACAAGAACAAAGGCCCCTAGGTGGAAAGGGGCTGGGGGGGTGCTGTTTGCCACAGGAAGCAGCCGGGGGCGGGGTAGCTGCAGTGGAGAGTGGGGGCAGGAGGGCTGGGAGAGGAGGCCGGAAGGATGGGCCGCACCCTGAAGGCTTTGGCTTCTTGATCCTGAGCAAGTGGCTTCACTAGCTGGGCCTCAGTTCCCACATCTGTAAAGTGGGCGGAATCGTCTCTACCTGAATGAACGTGAAGCATGCGGCACAGAGCAGGCGCTCTGGATGGAGAGCCCTCTCTTCCTCCACGTCCTCCCCACGGGGCTTCTCTCCCTGGTCTCAGCCAGTGCACTCCGCCTGGCCTGGTTTCCCTCATTTCAAGGGCAATGTTATCATTAGTGACTGTTCCCAGTGACTGGCCCAAGAGGTGGTCCCAGCTACCGTGCAGGGAAACTCATTTTGTTTCGAGAACTAGGCCCCTGGCATTGGAACATCAGGGGGTTTAGTGAGTGGCCTTAATGTGGCATTTACAAATGGTTATGAACTCAGTGCAGCTGAGAATGGGGCCAAGAAATCCCAGTGAATCCATGAAATGTTAGGCATTGTTTTTCTCTGAATCTTTCTAAGTCAGAAACGGAGGCCAGAGCAGGGAGGCCTTCCCTGAACCAGCCGGCGGGCATTTCTGGAGCCAGGCCGCTGGGATGCTCTTTTCCCAGCAGGAAGCCTAACGAAGCATTTAAAGTCGCCAGCACTCCAGCCTGCGAGAAACCCAGACACCAGACAAGGTGGGTACATCCCACAGGCTCCCGGAGAGGCTTGGCTGAGCTTTAGAAACAGCCAAGTTGAAAAGCAATGCGTTTGATCACCATTTCAAACCGCTTTAGGCGGACACTTCAGAGCGCAGGCAGAGCCCACGGCGGAGGGAGGGTGTGCGGCGCGCTCCTCACCTCTGGGCCGGCGGGGGCCGGAGCCGAGCCTGCAGGTAGTCCACAAAGAGGATTTCTTGAGCAAAATCAAAGTGGCAGTTGCCGGGCCCCTTGCGGATGAGAAAGCCCTCTGGAGGGGAGACGCACAGGCCGTCCAGGGAGACGTGGGCGATTTTGGCCTAGAACACAAAGCAAGGCCGTGCCTGCAGGGCCAGCGAGGGGCAGCAGCGTGTGCTCTGTCCCCTACTCAGCTGCAGCTGGAGCTGCTGTTTGTGATTCAGAAAGAGCTTCCTCCCAGACCAGTCCACTCTCCAGTGGCATCCCTACTGTGCCCGGCTGTGCTGGGTGCTGGGCAGAGAGCAGGAGACAAGGCAGGTGAGGCCCTGCCCCGGTGGACACGTCACCGTGGCCTGAGGTGGTACGAAATGGTGGTCAAGGGCATGGACTCAGTGCTCTGCCATCCTTCCCCTGCCTCGATGTCCTTGTCTGTTAAATGGGCTCAATAATGAGTTCACTTATGTAAAGTTTCCAGGACAGGACAGGCCTGGCACAAACACGCACTGCACCGCTCCTTCCGTCAGCCCTGGCGCACACCTCACCGCAGCCCCTAGCTGTCCTGCTAGGGCGGTGTCCTTGGTGGTTTGAGTCTGCTTTGGGGGCAGAGCCCCCAGCTCAACCATCTCTCCCTCTGCCCCAGGGCCTGGCACACAATAGGTGCTTACTAAGAGCATGCTGAATCAGTTGGATTTGGGCCAACAGGTCCCCCTGTTCTCAGCCAGATTTTGCCAGCCAGGTGGCCGGGAACTAGCAGTAAATCTCAAAGCCCCAATGGCAGGGTGTGAGGTGGCTCAGCTCTGAGTGAGCAGAGGGGGTGATAAGCCAACACCTGCCCTCCAACCACACATTTTGGAATCCAGGCTCCGTGGGACCTCACTCCACCTTCATGGTTAGCTACATGGGACCAGCTGCTGACCAAACTGGTGAACTCCTCCCGGGAGCCCCTCCGCGCAGAGGGGACGCCTGTGCTCCTGGAGCCCTTCGTCCGTCAGCATTAAGGGAGCCCCATATGCAGTCGGTAGTCACAGGCACATAAACCTGCAAAGGGCAGGGTGACGGCTTTGGCTGGATATGAGGGCCCAAAAGCTGTCACCCTATCTCCATCTGCTTTCTTCAAACCTCACTCCCACCCGCCCCGGTGGGACCTGTGGCCCCGGCCTGCCAACTGAGAGCTCCCACCCCTGCCCTGGGCTGGTTCAGCCTAAGGGAACAGGAGCCACCAGCACCAGGCCTGGGTTAGCTGGCGCCTCGAAAGAGGAGGCCTCTCTTCTGCTGGGCTTGGCGCTTGCAAAAGCCTAGGGCTGCCAGGTGTGCCCCGTGGAGAAAGCCACCGAAAGCGAAGCTGGCCAGAGAGCAAAGCAGAGGCCCAGGACGTCCCTGCCCTCTTCTGGGGCCACCATCTCCCCCAGGAAGTGTCTCTGACTGCCCCAGGCACTGTCATGGGGGGGGGGGAGGGTCTTTTATCACCTCCTCTTAGCTAAGGACACTAGAGTTCAGAGAGGCTAAGCATCTGCCCAAGGACTGGAGTGATCAAAGCCCCGGCACCAGGCCTGGCTCTACCCCCGCCAATGGCCCACACCCAGGTGCCCTGGGGGGTAGCCATCCAATTGTTTTTTGGGAGGCACAGTTTCTTTTTTCTTTTTAAATATATCTTTATTGGTTTCAGAGAGGAAGAGAGAGATAGAAACATCAATGATGAGAGAGAATCATTGATTGGCTGCCGCCTGCACACCCCCTACTGGGGACCGAGCCTGCAACCCAGGCATGTGCCCTTGACCAGAATTGAACCCAGGACCCTTCAGTCTGCAAGCCAATGCTCTAGCCACTGAACCAAACTGGCTAGGGCTGGGGGACAGTTTCCACTGCACTTGCTCCAGGATCCGCCCTCTCCGACGGGGCCCATCTCCCGCCTCCCACGGTGGCCATGTGGCACTGGCACCAAGCATGGTGGGGGGCAGACTGGGAAGCAGGGCTCTGGGTCCAATGTTCCCAGGACGTGACTCCAGGTCACAGAAGGTCAATGGCAAAGCCGGATTCACTCAAGAGAATGTAGAGACCCAGAGGCACGGGGTGAAGCACACGAATGTTTTTTTTATCTGACTTTTAAATGTGCTGAACCTGAGAGCGCACCTACGCAGACAGGGCGGGCGGGGAGGGTTTGCAGCTGCTCCAGAGACAGCGCCGGGGGCTAGGCTGCCACCACTGCGGTACCCCAGTCCTCCGGGCCCCCCGGGGCCTGCAGAGAACTCTGCAGCATGCAGGACGTGGTAGGAGCCCAGACCCAGGCTCACGGGCCTCAGGCCAAGTCCTGGCGTTGTGAACCTTCGCCTGGCAAAGGGTGATGGACCACCCTCCCGAGGAGGTATCGTCCTCCTCGACCCTTTACAGACGGGGACGCTGAGGGCCGGGAAAGCGGCCACTTTCGGAAGGTCACAGGGGGTCAGGGTCAGAGTGGAGATTCAGACTCAGGGCCCGTGACTTCGGCACCGAGCTGCACGGCTGTATGATCTGAGGTGTGTAATCACCATGGCGTCCATAGCGTTTCCTGGTTCACACGGGTCAGAAGCCCGTGGGGGGCACGGCTGCTCTCCCCGCATGCGGCAGGGGCCCTGCAGCCCACAGGCATGCACTGTGCTCAGGACCCTGGACGAGCCATCGGACCTTTCTGCACCTCACTTTCCTCAAGGACGAGGGGAATATGCCTGCCTCCAGAGCTGGGGACAAGCGTCCAATGGCAGGATGAGTTCCCGAGCAGCCCTCGGCCAGGGCCTGGCCCACAGCGCCCGGGGAACAGGGCACCACTGACCACCAGCGTGAGGGCTGGGCCCGAGGACCCCAGAGCCCCCAGAACAGACAAGGCGCCCGTGTCCCGAGTCCGCCCAGGCTCTTTAGGCTGCGTCTGCTGTCTGCAGGAGGAGGAGACCACAGCCTGCTCTCCCTGGCTGAAACCCCCATGGCCTTTTGGAAAGTTCTGGAGGATTTATGCTCCTCTCTGGCAGCCACGCCAGCCATTCATCAAGGCGCCGTTTCCTTGGCAGTGGCCCCCAGAACAGATAAGGCGCCCATGTCCCGAGTCCGCCCAGGCTCTTTAGGCTGCGTCTGCTGTCTGCAGGAGGAGGAGACCACAGCCTGCTCTCCCTGGCTGAAACCCCCATGGCCTTTTGGAAAGTTCTGGAGGATTTATGCTCCTCTCTGGCAGCCACGCCAGCCATTCATCAAGGCGCCGTTTCCTTGGCAGTGGGCTGAGCGCGGCCACCTGCCCCCCTTACCCCTCGATAGGTGTCCTCGGGAGATTTATTGTAGTTCCAGAAGCGCAGGCCCGCGATGCTCTCTGCTCTGTCGAAGCGGATCGTGACCACGTGGTCCAGCCCCGGCGAGAAGGGGATCAGCCACATATGCTCATCCTCCATCGTGATGTTGGCTCCATCGATTAACCTGCACGCAGCAGAGGGAGCGGTGAGGGGGGTGGCCAGCGCGGGGTCGACACCCTCTCACCGCCCACTGCCCCCCTGCCCGCCAGGAGCCTGACTGGCTGGGGTGAATTCAGGGACGTGAGCCTCATTAATCAACAGTGAGGGGCCACCTCTCAACTGCGAAATGAGACTAAAGAAAACAGGAAGAGAAATAACAGTTTGTGCTGTTTAAGGTGCGTGGAGCCATCCTCCAAGTTTTTTAAAAGGGTGCAGATGTGCCATTTTCCAGGACCCTCCAACCCCGTGACCCCATTTCAGGGAAAATCTAGTCCACCTGTTGGAACGGCTGTCTGCACTGGACATGCGTGATCGTCTCATTATTTGCGTTAGAGAAGGAGAACCGAGGCCTCAGAGCAGGGGAAGGTTAAGTCAACCTCGGCTGTTCAGTGCCCACCACGAGGCTGCGCAGCCACAGGGGGGAGGCGGGCGCAGCCACAGCGGGGAGGCGGGCTGCGGGCGACAGGGCCCCGCTCTTCCTGCTGGAAAATGAGGCCCAAGCCCAGGAGAGACTGCGTGAAGGGGCAGCACAGTGGCGGTGGCGCCGGAACGGCGGAGGCGAACATTCCCTCTGTGAAGGCTGTATGGACTCGGGTGCGTTTGAAAGAGTCTGTCCCTTCTTTGTTGTGCTGGGAGGGACACGGAGCCCAGCGTGAACCTGGCAGCTCGGGGGTGGGACAAGCTCAGGGCAGGTGTCTCGGGGGAGCTGTGACCCCCGTGTGGGCATCGCGGGGAGCTTCCCCGCCGGAGGAGCCCCAGCCCTCCGTGCTCCCCGCCGCTGCTCTGAGCTTGTCATCTTGCTCAGGTTGCTCCGTCCGGGCCAGTGTCCGGTTCTCCTGCTCTGACATCCTGCCTCATCCTCCTCAGCTCTGCCCGTTTGTCCCCAAGGCTGTCCTGCCCGACTTCCCTGGACACCCAGGCCCCGCCCTCCTTCTGTGGCTCTGGCCTGGGGACAGGGGCCTTTCTCTCACTTTCCTGGCGACTTTGAAGCTCTGCCCTGTCTCCTGTGTTGGATTGGATTGGATTGGATTGATCCTCACCTGAGGACATGCTTCTTGATTTTTCAGAGGAAGGGGAAGGAGGAGAGAGAAACATCAATCAGCTACCTTCCCATATGCTCCCCAACCAAGAACCAAACCTGCAACCTAGGTATGTGCCCTGACGGGGAATTGAACCCACAACCTTTCGGTGTATGAGACGACGCTCCAATCAACTGAGCCACCCAGCCAGGGCTGTTTCCTATATTTTAAAATAAACTTTTATTTTTTTTTCCTTTTCTACATTTAAAAATTTTAGATTTGGAATAAATCTTATAATCGAAGCGTTCATCCAAGGAGGTAATGTTCTTTGCTTTTTCTCTAAAAGGCGGTTATTAAGTTGATGGATGGTGTGTCTTACAATTGCCAGCATCTTAAAACAGAGGAAATTCAGCGATTTAACAGTGGGGTGTTTGTGGAGTCAAGCTGACTGAGGACTACACCAGAGAACCTTCTACTTCCTTCCCAAAGCCATTCCCTCTCTATCCTAGGCCCGTGGCTGCCTCCAGAGCAAGACTGTTGTCCAGTTCTGAGAGGAGAGAGAATTGCTGATGCGTTCACAACTGATGGGTGTGGGGGGCCCATAGACACCCTCAAGGATGCCCAATGATCCCTCCCAGCTCTGCCCACCAAACGGCCTTGAATTAATGACCAACCCAGTAGCATGAGCATCCCTAGAGGCCAGATTATGGTCTCTAAACATCATTTTCCACTAAAGGAAATGGGGCTTTGTGGACAGTGGCTGAGTCCATATCTGGGACAAGAAACATACAAGATGAGTATACCTGAAACTTAGATAAGAAAAGAACTTTTAAAAGAAATACATAAAATGAGCCTGGAATGACCTGTTATGTCAGAAAGCAGGGAAGCTGCCAGAGACCACTCACTGTTTTAAAAAGGATCCAGGAGCCCGGTCGGCGTGGCCCAGTGCTTGAGCATCCACCTATGAACCAGGAGGTCACGGATCGATTCCTGGTCAGGGCACATGCCCGGGTTGCAGGCTCAATCCCTAGTGTGGAGCGTGCAGGAGGCAGCCGATCAATGTATCTTTCTCATCATTGATGTTTCTCTCTCTCTCTCTCTCTCTCTCTCTCTTCATTTCTGAAATCAATAAGATATATTTAGCCCTAACCGGTTTGGCTCAGTGGATGGGTTGCCGCCCTGCAGACCGAAGGGTCCCGGGTTCGATTCCGGTCAGGGGCATGTACCTTGATTGCGGGCACATCCCCAGTGGGGGGTGTGCAGGAGGCAGCTGATCGATGTTTCTCTCTCATCGATGTTTCTGGCTCTCTATCCTTCTCCCTTCCTCTCTGTAAAAAATCAATAACATGTTTTTTTAAAAAAAATAAGATATATTTAAAAAAAGAAATAAAATAAAAAGGATCCAGGAGCTCCCAATGTCTAAGACAGGGGTGGTATGGCCCTGTCTCGGCATCAGGGTGAGTTAGTTAAACGTTTGACCAAATAGAGCAGGCTAATGTTTAAGTTGATAATTTGTATGGCCCACAAATGACATTATAAATATCCAAATGGCCCTTGGCAGAAAAAAGGTGTAAGAGCATCTAATCCAGCATCAGTAGGATAAAAACTACAACAGATTGAAACCCTTCACAAACAGAACATTTAAGTCAGTGATTATGACAGCCAAGGCAACCAAATGTGCCCTGGCCAGTGTGGCTCTGTGGTTAGAGGGTTGGACTGAGCACTGAGTGTCAGGTTCGATTCCTGGTCAAGGACATGTACCTGGGCTGCAAGTTCGATCCTAGGCCCCAAAGAGCGTGGGGAAGGCAAGCAATCAATGTGTCTTTCTCACATAACGCCTCTCTCTCTCTCTCTCTCTCTCTTCCTTCCTCTCCCTTTCTCCCTTCTTCCCTTCTACTCCTAAAAAATCAATGGAAAAATATCCTTGGGTGAGGATTAACAAAAAATAAATAAGAATAAATAGCTAAATGTATTAAAGGATGCTAGAGAAACAACTTATTGTTTTGAAAACTAAGAAATAAAAGGAATCAAACATTTAGACTGCCTTTCCTGTTTGAATTATACCTCAGAGTAAACAAATAATTGAGAGAAAATTTCTCTTTATTGATGAAAAAAAGAAAGATAGCATCAGTGTATCACCTGCTTGCAACCCAAATAAATTACTGGACCTAGCCACTGAGCTTCACAACCATAGAAAGCCTGACAACCACGGAAGGGAATGAACAATGACATACACACCCCCACAATCCAACCTCAGTCTGATCAGGCCTCTGGATCTAAAGAACATTTTATAGGAAACACAGGGCCAGGCAGGGGTGCGGCTGGGAGCCTCCAGCCATGGAATTCACTGTCCCTGTCCTATGATGAGGAAACCAGGCAGGGAAGACAGGATCAGTCAGTGCTTAAGTGCATGGGCACTGCTCTCCCATACCTGCACTCTAACCATGATTCGGCTGGTCTGAGTGACCTTCAGCCAGTTTTTAACCCCTCTCTCCCTCAGTTCACAGGGGTAACTATCATATTATAAATGGATGGATATCTGTAACCTGCTTAGCACCTGGCATTTAACAATGGCTAAAAAAACATGGCAACTATAATTTCAGTTATTATTACTATTACTAGAGGCCCGGTGCATGAAATTTGTGCACTGGGGGGGGGGGCAGTCCCTCAGCCCAACCTGTGCCCTCTCACAGTCCGGGAGCCCTCAGGGGATGTCAGACTGATGGCTCAGAGGCGGGAGAGCTCCTGAAACTGCCGCTGCACTCGCCAGCCATGAGCCCGACTCCTGGCTGAGTGGTGCCCCCCCCCGTGGGAACACACTGACCATCAGGAGGCAGCTCCTGCATTGGGTGTCTGCACCCTGGTGGTCAGTGTGCATCATAGTGACTAGGGGATGTCAGACTGATGGCTCAGAGGTGGGAGAGCTCCTGCCACCGCTGCACTCGCCAGCCGTGAGCCCGACTCCTGGCTGAGTGGTGCCCCCCCTGTGGGAACGCACTGACCATGAGGAGGCAGCTCCTGCGTTGGGTGTCTGCACCCTGGTGTTCAGTGTGCATCATAGTGACTGGTCATTCCGCCATCAGGCCGAAACCGGCTCTCTAACATCCCCTGAGGGGTTCCAGATTGTGAGAGGGCGCAGGCCAGGCCAAGGGACCCCACCAGTGCACGTTCGGGACTGGGGAGGGACGCGGGAGGTTAGCCAGCCAGGGAGGGACTGTGGGAGGGCTCTAGGGAGTGTCCTGCCCGTCTCGCTCAGTCCCGATCGGCCGGACCCCAGCAGCAAGCTAACCTACCGGTTGGAGCATCTGCCCCCTGGTGGTCAGTGCACATCATAGTGAGCGGTTGAGCGGCCTTAGCATATCATTAGCATATTACACTTTGATTGGTTCAATGGCCGACTGGATGACCAGACAGTTAGCATATTAGGCTTTTATTATATAGGATTATTGAAGAGGTTAAGAAACTTACTAGCTGGCAAGGGGCAGAGCCAGGATTTGAGCTCTCATCCCTCTGACTCCTGGACTCCTGTTTGCAGGGCCAGGCAGGGCAGCTGCCCTGAGGGGACAGTGCTCCTCGGCAGGTTAAGGGCCCCATGGATCACGGCTGTATGTCAGGCTGTCCTCTTACTGACCTGACCCAACCTGGGTTTATGAAACCTGACAAATGCAGAGGAAAGTGCGGGGACCTCCTCAGCAGTCACCTTCCGTCTCAAGGAGGGGACAGCTGGCTCTCTGAGAGGCGAGGTCGCTCATGAGGACAGGCAGGGCCATCCCTGCAAAAGCTCCCCGAGCAGCCACTGTGCTCGTGGCCGGAGCTAAGCTCTGCCTGGAAGCAGGAGAGTCCGGCTTCGCACCCAGCCTGCACCCGCTGTGCGGTCCCGGGGCGCCCTCCCTTTCTGAGCCCTGGGTTCCTTAACTCTAAGATGAGGTGACCAGACCTTGGGGGTGGCTGGGGGTTGCTGTCTGACGTTGGAATCTCAGGTCTAAGATGCAGGACAGGCCCTGCTCCGGCTGCCATGAGTTAAGCTTCCTGCAGACACCTACTTGTCCAGGGTCCGGGAGTCATCCGTGTACTCGGGGAGGTCATTTAAGTCCCTGGGGGAGGCGGAGATCTGGTGCAGGCTGATGGGCAGGGCCTGGCCATCCTTGCCCACCACTTCCAAGCCCGTGAGTCCCAGGTAGTGCAGGTCCCCCCAGGAGGCAGTGAAATTCAGCTGAAGGCCTGCAACAGGAAGGAAAGTGGTGTGAAGGAGGAGCCCAACATGGAGAGGAGGAATGGTCCTTAGCGCCTATGCAGTGCCCCCAGGCTCGTCCCGCCCCTTTCCTCAGGGGGCCTGGGGCTTGGACGCTGCTGACAGTTCACAAAATGTTTGCGGGGGTGAATGGGCCCGTGCTGTTTAAACCTGTGCAGTCCTGGGTCCTTTCTCTACCCTCAATCATGTCACCCCCTTGATGTTTAACAGCCTAGAGTGGCTTCCCATGTGCTTGGCCAACAGGCCCTGCCCATCTGGCTTCTATTTCTCTAACCTCATCTTGCACCAGGAGTTCCTGGCTCCACTAAGATGGCATCCCGTCACTCATTTACTCCTCTCTCCCGCCAGGGCCACTGCTCATGCTGCTCTCTCTCTGGAACGCACATGCCTGGCCCACTTGTGCTCGTCCGTCAGACCCCAGCTCACCTCCTCAGGGAAGCCCCTTCGACTACACTGACCCTCCGTTCACAGCTGCTGAGTCACTGTGAGCTTCCCCTTCCACGCCCTGGTCGCACTGCGATCTTGTGACCCCTTGGTTCAATATGCCAGACCATTAACTCGAGGACAGAGACCCCATCTGTTTGCTTTGTCCCCAAAGCCCGCCACAGTGCCATTCAGTATAGTGATTAAACAAGTGTGAATGAGGCAGCGACATCACTAAGCCACACACTGGGAATGGATGTTTCATGCAAATGGCTGCTATCATGAGGACTCAGGGTAAAGGAAGTGACCGCTTCCACCCTTTGCCCTGCCCCACCTGCTCCATTAGAGATCATGTAGATTTTACGAGGACCTTCTGGGCACCTGCGGAACAATGGCCGCGAATCGTCCACTTGCCCAGAAAGCTCCAAGCAAATGCACCTCTTGGCCGGGCCTGTCGGGCTTCTGGCTGGAACTTCCTTCCTTACTGGTCTCCCATGAGGGTGGGCCACGCCCCGTGAGCTCCGCCACCTTGGGGGCCTTGGAGCCCACAGCAGCCTTTGGGGGGCTGTGCTCAAAAGATCCGCGCTCTCTGCAGCGTGTGCAGAACGCCAGCACTGCAGCGCCGGGGAGAACAGCCTGGCTATCACGGTCCCACCATCCGGCTCAGAAGAGGAGGTGGAGGCCAGGGAGGTCTCTGGACATCCCTGTGAGGCCCAGCCAGGCCACCTCCCTGGAGCTCAGCTCCTCTCCTACGCCCGTCATTCCCAACGTGCGTTGTGTCACTCGGCCTCAGACCCTTCTGCTCGCCAGGGGCCAGGGCAACTGAGCATCTTGGGGTCAGTGAAGAAGACCTGTGACCAGCATGGTAGGGCACATGGCAGCTCTCACAGCACTGGCAGCCTGCAGAATGGCCACCACCCCCTCCCACCCGCCCCTGCCTCTGCAACGCGACTCGGCCGCTTCCCCCAGCCAGAGGTGGAGTGTCTTCCGCTCCTTGAGCCTGGGCCCGGTGATGGCTTTGGCCCGTGAGACAGAAGCAGAGGCACTGCAGGCAGAGGCTGCAAAGCACACGCGCACTGGGGTTGTCCTCTCTCCACACGTGGGGTCTGGCCACAGGCAGGAGACAGGCGAGCCCCGGCGCCCCTCACTCTGGCCAACAGCCTCCCAACTGCAGGACACGAAGGCATCCTGGATCATTCAGCTGCCAGCCCACTGCCAGCTGAGCAGGCTCATGAGCAGGCCCAGGAGATGCCGGCCAAGCCAGCTCAGAGGAGAACTCCCAGCCACGCCACTGATACGCTCCCCATCGAGGCCCCCCCACCTGAGCTCAGAGAGCACCACGCCCTAACCAGCGGTTCTCAACCTGTGGGCCACGACCCCTGAAAATACATCCTGCATATCAGATATTTACATTACGATTCCTAACAGTAGCAAAATTACAGTTATGAAGTAGCAACGAAAATAATTTTATGGTTGGGGATCACCACAACATGAGGAACTGTATTAAAGGGTCTCGGCATTAGGAAGGTTGAGAACCACTGCTTCTGCTCCACCCTTTGTCACAGCACCTGTCCCTGTCTGACAGTCCCTTCCAGGTTTACTTGCTATTTGATCTGATCAGCCTTCCCCACTAGGACGGGAGGCAGCTCCTTGCGGGCGGGAATGCCGTGGACACTGTGCACTGTTGTACCCCCAGAGCCTAGAACAGTATCTGAAAAACAGATGGTCAGTGAGGGCCTTTTTCTTTTGAAATAAGTGCCTGACTGAAGAGTGGGTCTCAGTGGATACCTGCAGTAAGTGAGTCAACCTCAAATCATTGAGTTTCACCAAGTTCAGCGTTAATGATAAACAGATATTTACCGATCACTTACTATGTACCAAGTCCTGCCCCTGGAACTGGAAATACAGGGTAAACACAGAGCAAAATCGCTGTAGGAGCTTCTACTGCAGTGAAGACACACAACAAACACCTAACAAACCAATAAATACGATCGTTCCTCAGAGTGCCAACCGCCATGGGATAAATCAGAGAGCTGGGCTAGGGAATGGCTGGGAAGGGGCGCGTGGTCAGGGAGGGCTTCTCTGAGGGGCGATGTTCGAGCGGAGACCTGGGGATGAAGGAGGCTGCCATTCTTCAGCATGTCTGGAAGGACATTCCCAGTTGAGGACAGAAGGGCCACAGCCCTGGGATGGGAGCCACTCGGCCAGTGGTTGGAGCCAGGTGACTGAGGAAGAGGGAGGTGGAGGGAGCGACCTCAGAAGCGCTGGCACACGTGCTTCAGAAGGTTGGGCAGGGCTGGCCACGCCATGGGGTCCGGGTTCCCCTCTGCACTGGGCCTCACAGGGATGTCCGGAGACCTCCCTGGCCTCTACTTCCTCCTCTGAGCGGGGGAGGTCCGGGTTGAAGCAAGGGCGCCCATGTGATGTGATCTGCATCTCAGAACGTGACTCGTTTTGACCCTCTAGGACAGTGGTTGGCAAACTGCGGCTCGCGAGCCACATACGGCTCTTTGGTCCCTTGAGTGTGGCCACAAAGTTTCCATCGCACTGTACGTGTGCGCCCGCATGTGGTATTTTGTGGAAGAGCCACACTCAAGGGGCCGCAGTTTGCCGGCCACTGCTCCAGGAGACCAGGGAGGAGGCTGCTGGATACGGATGCCCTGGCCCAGGCGGTGAGTGGTGACAGCAGGGCACAGGGGACGGGTTCAGGTCTGCTTTGGAGACAGCACTGCCAGATTCTCAGTGGCATGTAGGGAGTGGGGGGAAGAGAAGATGCTTTTGACCTGAGTTCCAGAGGGGCTGTGGGTATCGCTCCTGAGATGGAGGCGGCCTGAGGTGGAGGAGGGAGCAGGTTTGGGTGAGGGGATCAGTGCCAGGGACCAGTGCCAGCCCCCCTTGTGAAAACAAGACTTGGCATCCCAACTCGCCCTTCGTTTGCCTGGAAGAGGCTCTGCGAGGCCATCGGATGCGGGGCTGCTCGCCTGTCTGAGCTCACATCCATGCTCACATTCATTTTCCTTTGGTGTACCCATCAGTATTTATATACATGGAAATTAATTTTGTTATTTCTCGTCCATGTTTCAACTCTCCCAGCTCCTTTCCTATTCATCACTGCTGATATTTGCAAAATGTCCAAAATGCGTGTCATCTGCAGATTTGCAAATCATACATCCCTTTTCAAAAACATTAACAGGAGCCTGGCCAGTGGCTCAATGGTTAGAGCATCGGCCCAAGCACCGAAGGGTCTAGGGTTTGATTCCCGGTCAAGGGCACACATCTGGGTTGCAGATTCACTCCCTGACCCCGGTCTGGGTGAGTATGGGAGGCAACCAGTTGATGTGTTTCTCTCACATCGATGTTTCTCTCTTTCTCCCCCTCCCTCCCTTCCACGCTCTCTGAAAAGTAATGGAAAAAAATATCCTCATGTGAGGATTAACAACAAAAACATGAATAGGACTGGCCGTATGTACCAAGCCAGTATGCACTGGCTGGTCCGGGGGTCAGGATTTTGGCAGCGTGCGGGAAAGCCAAAGGCTCAGAGGCGGGAGACAGACATCAGGGCTCGGGCATGCGGAGGGGGCTGGCCAAGAGGTTCTCCTGCCTCCGAGGTTGCACTTTCCTCCAGCAAAGAGGCCTCGGAGCCCACACCAGGCAGCTCCCAAGGGCACCACGATCACGTTTCTGAGAAAGGTCAGGAGCTGGCTCAGTGGAAAAGACATTTACAGACGCATCTTTGGGGAAATCACCAGATGAGAGGGACACAGCTGCCCCTTCCGTCTTCTCGTCACTGCACTCTGACCGCCTCTGGAGCAGTGTGGGTGGCTGACCCTCAGCACGGGCTCCAGGGACGCCCTTGATCCAGGCCTAGCCATGCGCGGTTTCCATCTCACACCTCCCTCCCCGCTCCCTCCCCGTCCTGGGGAGCCAGTGATTGGTTTAAAGATGTTTGGGCATGTGATCCAAGCCAGGCCGAGCAGAGCAATTCTGGGAGTGCTGACCTCCGACCCTCACAGCTGAGTCCCCCCACTTATGGCTGCCCTTGGCCTTGCCCCTCCGCAGGCAGCCCATGTCCAGGGACATGCTGATATGGGCGTGTAAGGGCCTGTCCCCTCACTCAGCTCAGGACAACGCCAGGGCTGCCACAGCTCAAGCTCCCTGTGGAGCTGGCAGAGGCCTCCACGTGAGTACGAGGCTCAGCTTCTCCTCTGCCCCGTCCTGCTTCCTGTCCTCCCCAGGAGCATGCCCCAGGAAACTCCACCGCAGAGTCTGCTTCCTGGGAACCCAGTTCAGTCGGCCCTCAACCAACAGGGACGGAGTGGGAGGGACGGAGAGGGAGGGATGGAGAGGGAAGGCATGCTGGGCAGAGGGCACAGCTTGGGCGGGGGACAGGTGGGGGTTCAGAGACGGGTGTGGGGAGGAGGACCGGCTGAACCTAGATGTCTGGCTTCATTCGAGAGATGATGCAGAGAGAGTGTGACAGAAGTTAACTGGAGGGAATGAGTGCTCAGGGGGCAAGAAAGAGCAGGTGAGGCTAAAGGAGCAGGTGAGCCATGAGTCTCGTTAACAGGGACCAGGAGGGAGGCGCGCACAGTCCGCGGCCACCTCGGGCCTGAAGATCCCAGATGCAGGCGGAGGGCTGGCCTGCGCGTGCGTGGAGGAGGAGGGGTGGCTGCAGGGTCACATGGGAAAAGACGAGAGAAAAAGACAGTGAAGCCCAGATGGGATTTGCTCAGAGGCCACCCACCGGCAGCCAGCTGGCCGATACACATGTGTTTTGTTTGGCTCATTAGTTGTTTAAAAATATTATAAAATTAGTCACCAACATTTAAAAAGCTGAAGATTTCACATAAAAATCCAAATTTCTGACTTCTCAGAAGAACTGGCAGCTCCCGCCTGGCAAAGCCTGTGTCTTTCTCCTGCTGGTTTCAGCCCGCTGGCCACAGGGCCACATCTGAGCAGACCCTGTCCCAGGGGCCAGGACGCCTGACCCCCGAAGGCCCTCCTTCCCCTGGCACTGCCCAGGACAGGGTACTCACAGATCCCGTGGTAGACGCCCGGTTCCGGAGTGGTGACTTCAGGCACAGGGGCGCTGGGTGGCAGCTCCACTTCAGGGACCTGCACACCGGTTAGGGGAGAAGCAGAGGCAAGGGTGACCCACAGAGCTGGCTGGTGATGTTTCCAGCTGCTGCTGCCCACCTCACACCCCAGGGAAGTCCCTGTGTCCCTTGTTGTGTTTTCTGTCTCTGTGGAGGTCGTGACTGGTAACATGAACAGGCCCAGGAACCCTCGCCTGTCTGAGTCCTTGCCAGAAGCTCTTGCTGGTAGGGGAGGAGTTTGACGCTACCAGGGAAGGAGCCATCGATGTCTGTCTGGTCAGCTAGAGGGAGGCGGGGAGAGAGGAAAGGAAGGAAGGGAAGAAGGGAATGAAGGGAAGGAAGGAAGGAAAAGAACTTAAGCTACAGAGCGTGGTTCTGGGCCTGGGCATGTGCATCTGCAAAGCTCCCAGGTTAGCCCCTGGGCAGCCAGGAGAAGGAGCGCTTGGTCTGCAGACAGCCCAGGTGGGCAGCCAGCCCTACTTCTTGGGCCTCATGTGTGAACTCTGCTCATTAGACCTCTCCATCGTAAGTTCGGGTAAAAGTGCCTTCACTACTTTACAGACAGGAAAGCTGCGAGCAAAAGGAAGTGAAGTCCAGATCTCAGAGTCTGGGTGAACGTGGTGGTCCAGCCCCAAGGACGACCTGATGAGCGCCAGGCCCCGCCCCTAGCAACAGCCTCTCCAGGCCCAGTCCAGCCATGAGGAGGGGGGTGGGGAGGGCCTGTCAGGAGCCCCCCTGACACAGCCAGCCTCAGGCCACCAGGGAATATCACTGCCCTGGTGCCCACGCGCCTTCTCTTGCCCTCCCTGGCACCCTGCCCTCCCCTCCTAGGATGACCCCTGTGGATGCACTGACCTTAACACTCTCTAGGGGTGTGACCCTGATGCTGCCCCCCCACCCAGCCCAATGAGCACAGGTTCTCCTCTAAGATGAGAGTGTCCCTCCCTGCCCCTCATGGGCTGGGTTTCCGCGCTGGGAAACCATGGGGGCACAAGGCCTCCTGGTCAACTCCCAGCTGGACTCACGGATCAAATCCAGACAACAGACATGCTTCCTGGCCCACGAAGGTTTGAAAACATTTGAGTCACTTGCTAACATTTTTAAATTGGGATATCCTATCTAATAAACAGGAAATATGCAAATTGACCATCACGCCAACACACAAGATGGCCACCACAAGATGGCCAGCAGAGAAGGGCAGTTGGGAGGAACCAGGCCTGAAAGAGAGGGCAGTTGTGGGGGGGGGGATCAGGCCTGCAGGAAAGGGCAGTTGGGGGGACCAGGCCTGCAGGGGAGGGCAGTTGGGGAGGACCAGGCCTGCAGGGGAGGGCAGTTGGGGGCAACCAGGCCGGCAGGGGAGCAGTTAGGCATCGATCAGGCTGGCAGGGGAGTGGTTAGGGGGTGATCAGGCTGGCAGGCAGAAGTGGTTAGGGGCAATCAGGCAGGCAGGCAGGTGAGCGGTTGGGAGCCAGCAGTCCTGGATTGTGAGAGAGATGTGCGACTGCCCGTTTAGGTCCGATTCCACTAAAACAGGCAGTGGACATCCCTTGAGGGGTCCCAGATTGGAGAGGGTGCAGGCTGGGCTGAGGGACACACCCCCCCATGCAAGAATTTCGTGCACCAGGCCTCTAGTTTTTACATAAAAATTCAGATATCTGGCTTCATTTTTAAAAAAATCAGCACAATTGTCACCATGAGCTGGCAGTCTTGTCGGGCGGAGCGGCAGCAGCCTCCCTTAGAGGTGGAGGCTCACGCACTGAACACCCGGCGCCAACAGACCATGCGCTGCACTGCGTGGTCAGGACCTGTGGTGGCTGGAGCTGTCCTCTGCTCCTGGATGTCCCCCTCCCCCCGCCCCCTGCTTGGGGGCCTCGAGGACACCCTGGAGACCTGGTCTTCCCTCCATGGCTGCTCTTCACTTGGCCTGGCCCTTGCTTTGAAGGTCATCTTTCATTAAAAAAGCACAGACTTTAGAGTCCCGTGTTGAAGCTCTAACCTTGTCACTCTCCCGCTACGCGCCCTGGGCATGACCCTGAGCCGGGCTGAACCTTGGTCTCCACACCAGCGGTTGTCAGGAGGGATGCACAGGGCTGGCTCACAAGTCACACGCAAGAAACAATCGCTGGATTGTCATTATTTTAATTCTAAGTCTGCCTATTAAAGGCATTTCCAGTCCTCCCATCAAAAACAACCGAGAGATCAAAACGCAACCTCGAGCAGGAAGTTCCCAAAGACCTTGAATGACAGAGGGGACACAGCATGGATTTCTCCCAGCTTTGATTAAAATCTGAATACTTTCTTTACTTTGGTGGAAAAAAAAATAAATGAAATAAAAATCATTTAGAGAATGAAATATGACACCCAGGACTGAAGACGAAGTGGAGAAATGGGAAATGTCAAAACAGCAGCACCAGCAGCGTAAAGAGATCCATCTTCATTCTCCTGCTCCTCTCCGGCTGGCAGTCAGGGGAAA